CTTCCCTTTTTCTGTTCCCATTTCTAATGAAAACGTTGTTTCCTTTTGTATTCTTCTTTCCTTTGACAAAAACCGTCTTTTTTTTCTTGCATGCACTGTTTTATCTCGGTCTTATTTCATTCTCAAATGCCGTTCCTCATGCAATTTTTTCTCTTCAACAGCATTCTGTGATTTTTGCTCTTAAAAACGCCGTTTTCACATTTTTATTTCTCATGTAAACACTATTTCTCTTGAATTTTTCTTAGTAAACGCCGTTTTTCTTAGTAAACGTTCTTCTGTTGTTTCGCGCGTAAACACTCCTATTTTTTTCGCTTGAAAATACCGTCTATTTCTGTCCGTCTTCTCTTGAAAACATCGGTTTTTTTTGGTTTCTTCTTGTATTTATTTTGCACTTTAAGCGCCGTTTGTACAAAAAAGTACGGCTTTTACATGCCCAGTTCTACTAGCGCTGCGTCTCAGCTGAAAACAACGCTGATTCTCCAACTTTAAGCGGTTGCGAGCTTAACCGACATTTGAGCCGTTTTTACCGTATAGAAAGCCGAAGACTTGACTGAAACTATAACTGATATATAAACGGTAAGCTGATAGGCAAACAATGAGACGAATTTCTAGCAAATTCCTTTTTAAAAATTCCTCAGTAAAACACCCTGCCTTGCAGAACTTTACCTTTGCGTCGTGCACGCGACGGTTATTGAAAGCCACTAAAGCCAGCGGATTTGGCGCAGCTTCGCAGGCTAAAGGCGACGATCGATTATCGCACGCTTCCTCACATGGGGATGCTTCTCTGGATACGGAATCTACATCATCATCGCCCAGAACTCGACCTAAAACCCGAGAGAAAATGATGCAAATGCACCAAAGAATCAACAGCAAACACACCTTTCGGGATGGCACCACCTAAAGTATCTTCCAGCTCGCCTTTTCTCGTATTGAACATGGACAGCTCACTGTCCCCGTCCATTCCCAGCCAGTTTTCCGCATTGTGGATGTGGATCAGATCCCTAACTAGTTCTTCGTCCGTTTTTCCTCCTAGATCGCCGCCTTTGCCCTTCAGAGGCCCGAAAACGTCGTGGTTGTAGAGCGGATCGTTGACGACTGGATAACCTGCGGACAAGCGCACATTTCCCTACATATTCAAAAAACTGGGACTGGGACAAGAGCATACCTAAGTATTGCAGATGAACGCGAATCTGGTGCATCCGCCCAGTTTTGGGCTTGCACAGAACGATGCTGGTCTTGCCGTTGAAGCCCAACTTCTGGAAGAACGTGCTGCAATCTTTGCCTTTGGGCGACACTTTGCAGACGCCGATCTTGTAGCTCACCACTTCGATTGGCTCTTTGCACTCGATCAGACCGCTGAAACAAAGCATCTGTTAGCTCCACTCTGTGGACTCAAAGCTCCTGGACTTACTCGGGAAACTCTCCTTCCACACGGCAAACGTACTCCTTGCCCACCAGCCGGTTTCTGATCTGGTGCTCCATTTGTCGGGCCTTCTTCGGGGAGCGCCCAAACAGCAGCAGCCCGCTGGTGAGCCGATCCAGCCGATGGATGGTGCGCAGATTCTTCAAGTTGTACTCTTTGGCCAATATGAAGACTACAGTGTTGTGCCTGTACCGTCCGCAGGGGTGTACCTAAAAACTCTTGTGTTAGAAGAGTGCTGGGGGGTGAGGGCTTTGCAAGCATGCTTGGGCTGAGAAGCACTTTAAGGCTCTGTGTGGTTAGTAGTATAATTGACAGAAATTCCTAGCACCAAAAGCGTCAAGCATCGTCTACAACATCACTGGAGGGAGCATTCTTTTGGAGAATTAATGGGTTGATCCAGATGCGTCCTCTACTCATGCAGAGGCAGGTTGAGGATGAAGTGTGCGTGAAATCGGAAAAGACCAATATCGCTTGGCTTTGCTGCCAAATCGGGAACTCTAGTGCTCATCACTGGTTTTCCAAAGGTACTTTAATGGGAAAATGTGTTTGCGTGTGTGGCACTCGGTACACTACTCACCGGCAACGAACACGGTTTGTCCAAAACAACAATGTCTTCGTCTACGTAAATTAACCTGATGGATTTCGAAAGAACGGGGGTCTCATGTCTGTAACCACCGGCAAAAACATTATCAAAGCCACTGGGTTAACGACACGAACATTGAGCCATGCTATTAAGAGTACAGAGTTACCCATTAACATTTTTTATTTAGAAAGTTAGTTGGTTTGGTTAAAAAGCTGTTATGTTGAATAACCCTGTAGACTAAAGCCAACCAACTACGTCGCTCTACCACCCAGCCAAACGAGGAGAAGGAAGCAACAAAGCCAACCAATCGCATGCGAGTCTACAGATCGGTACAACCGTGTAGATGGTCAATGGCAGTCTATTGGCCACTTACAGGAATTGAAGCGGGTTTGTTGACCACCACAATGTCCTCGTCCATATGTACAATGGTGATCGCTTGGCTAGTGACCGGCACTTCGTGTCTGCAACATACACTTTTTAGTCAAACGTATACGGTACGAATCCAACCAAGGACGGACGGGGAAACGGGGACGAATCACTCGAAAAATAGCTTTCTGATTTTTGCAAACGCTAGGGGAAACTGATCTTAACGCGCTGCAAGGCGGAGGATGAGCCGGAAAAGAGCGGGGCGTGTTCCACCACTCTAAACACGCACAGTCCGCTGCAG